GTTTTTCCACCCGTGAGGCCAGGGCAGGTGCGGTGGGTCTGTGGTCCCAGGGCAAGGGCCGGAAGAGACGCTGGGACTTTGCAGGGCCTATTTCCAGCAGCACGGCTGCACTTTCACCGCTGTCGTCCCCACTAACGTCTTTGGGCCCCATGACAACTTCAACATTGAGGATGGCCACGTGCTGCCTGGCCTCATCCACAAGGTGCACCTGGCCAAGAGTGAGTGCCTGCTCGTGGGGCCCCAGGGCCTCAGCTGGGAGGGGGGGTGGTGGCTGACACAGCACGCCCCACAGCTGCCCCCTCCCTAAATCTGCAGGCAGCGGCTCTGCCCTGACGGTGTGGGGCACTGGAAAGCCACGGAGGCAGTTCATCTACTCACTGGTTGGTGCCTAGCTCTCCACCCAAATGTTTCTTGGCCTGCCATGCTGCTTGTGGGAAGGCGGTAGCCTGAGGGAGCCTGGTAAAAGAGCTGGGGTCCAGGCTGAGCCTCTGGAGTAGCAGTCACTGCTCCTCACTGGGTCCCTGTAGGCACCTGGCCTCATGGGAGTCGCCAGGTGCAGCACTGAGCTCAGTGAGAGGCACAACTCTCTGTTGGGCTGAGCTGGCTAAGAGCTGCCCAAAGGGAGAGACTTCTGGCTCCAGTGGAGCCCGGGCTGTGCCCTCACTGAGCAGGGGCACTTAGGAGGGGTGGCCTGTGGCCCCATGTGGCTGTAACTTGTGGCCTTTGACCCTTTTTGACTTCTAGGACCTGGCCCGGCTCTTTATATGGGTCCTGCGGGAGTACAATGAGGTGGAGCCCATCATCCTATCAGGTGGGCACCCTTTGGCCTCACTGCCACTAAAGCAGGACCAAACCCATGTCTGTCCTGAGAACAGCTAGGTGGGGAATGACAGTATTGTGGGGGGGCTGGGTGACAGCAAGGCCAGGCAGAGGAGGCCTGACCTGGCTGTTGGCACCCTGCTCCCCACAGTGGGCGAGGAGGATGAGGTCTCTATCCAGGAGGCAGCTGAAGCCGTGGTGGAGGCCATGGACTTCCATGGGGAGGTCACCGTATCCTTTGGCTCTGATGCACCCAAGATGGCTCTCCCCCTGGCAACTGGTGAGAGGAGGGGTGGTGCTCCCCCTGGGAAAGGCAGAAGAGGTTCAAGGGCAGGCAGGGGTGGGGGGGTACCCCTTCTGCTGTGGCCTTGACCAGGCACCTAGTTTGATACAACCAAGTCAGATGGGCAGTTTAAGAAGACGGCCAGTAACAGCAAGCTTCGGACCTACCTGCCCGACTTCCGGTTTACACCCTTCAAGCAGGGTGAGCCCCCTGGTCCTCCCATGGTTCTCCCACCCCATCCCGCGAGACCTCCTGTCCCCTCCTTCCTGGCTTTGGCTTCTCTACTTCAAGCTGCGGACACCCTCAAGGTTTGGTGTTCAAACCTTTATCGGGGAGGAAGGACACAGAAGGGGTGACTGCATGTGTCGCTGGGGCCTCTGCCCTCCCGGGCCTCTGCCCTCCCCATCTCCTCCAGTGGAGATCAGTGCAGCCCCAGCCCTCACCTACCACCACCTGTTACCTGCCCACCTCTGCAGCTGTGAAGGAGACTTGTGCCTGGTTCACCCACAACTACGAACAGGCCCGGAAGTGAAGCACAGTGTGGGAGCAGGCGCGGGCTGCCCCCAAGGCCCCGGAGGCACCACCCTCAGACCCTGCAGGAGTGGAGGGCACTGCCCAGCAATCTGGGCCCACGTTCTCCCCTCCACCAGGGCGGCTCTGGGCAGCTGTGCAGTGGGGCCACCATTCATGTCTGTCCTCAGGGAAACCAAGGCCTGGCCAGGTTCTCCCAGCACCTTGCTCCCCAGCACCAGTCCCAGGGTCCCAAGTGTGTCCCCTTCTGATCCTGCTCTCCCACTCCCTGGGAGCTAATAAAGTCCATTTTCCCAGGCCTGGCCCCAAAAGCTCTGTGCCAGCCATTCCTCCTCCACACCCCACCCCAACACACACACACAGCCACTGTCTCTCTGAGCCTGGCTAACCCCAAGACCTACCGTTCACCTGCTGACTGCTCAGCTCTGGAGAGACACTGGGCCAGGGTGGCTCACTGTCCCTGGAGTGGAAGGGCAGCAGTGGCTGGCCAAGTGGGTGTGCAGGTGAGAAGCAGGCAGGCTGCAGGGTAGAGGCGGTGGACAGTCAGTCGGTGGGGATGCAGGGCAGGGTACCTGTAGCAGTCCCAGCGGGTGGTGTGGGCTCAGCTTAGCCTTTCCACATGAGATCATATGCAGCCCTGGGTGACCTGAACTCCTTGGGCCTGCCAGCATGTCGACTTTGCGGGACAAAGCTGGTCCTGGATTTGGACAGGCTGAGTAGGCATGTGGATGGATCCAAGGGGAGGGTGGTGATGCCAGGAGACAGCTGTACCAGGCCTGGCCCCTCACCTCCCTGGCCCTCAGGTGGCAGCCTGTGGTGGGGCCTGGCCTGCCTTTCTCCCTTGGACAGTAACAAGTATCACAAAGGAGGGCCTGCTGGTCCTGGTGGGTAGGGGTGAGCAGCACAGACCTCCCCATTCTCAGCAGGAATCCAGCCAAGTCCCCAGGGCGGCCATGCAGTGCTAGGGTGTGGACCCAGGAGTGCCCAACTCCAAAGCCCTGAGATACTTTCCCTGGCTCCGGGCTGGCCCTCCTCTCAGGTCCCCTCTCTTCTGGGTCACCCTTCATCATCCTCATGCTGGTGGCTCCCAGCTTTCTTCTGACCCCAAAAGTGCCTGGCGTCATGTTAATTCTTTCCTCTGTTCAGGCAGTATTGGCTGTCTTCCTTGTGCCAGGCACGGCTTCCCACCTCTGTTCCTGTGCTGAGCTGCACCCACCCTCTTCCCCCAGCAAGCTGCAGTGTTTACCCCAGGGCTCTCCCCCGGCGAGCTGCAGTGTTTACCCCCCCAGGGCCCTCCCCCAGGGAGCCACAGTGTTTATCCCCCCAGGGCTTTCCCCTAGGGAGCCGCAGTGTTTAGCCCCCCAGGGACCTCCCCCAGGGAGCTCCAGTGTTTACCCCCCAGGGCCCTCCCCCAGGGAGCTGCAGTGTTTACCCCCCAGGGCCCTCCCCCAGGGAGCTGCAGTGTTTACCCCCCAGGGCCCTCCCCCAGGGAACTGCAGTGTTTACCCCCCAGGGCTCCCCCCCAGGGGGCTGCAGTGTTTATCCCCCAGGGCTCCTCTGGGGCTGGCCCAGGACCTTCCCGTCAGTGCCTCCCCCACCTTTTCGGCCTCAACTGATGTGTTGCTTTCTCTGAGTGCCCACTCTGCTGCAGGATTCCTGTGTGCTTCTCTGGGAATGCCCGGAGCCTCTCCCTCCCCCTAGGACTTGGAGCTCTAGGACCTGGGTCAGCCTTCACTGTGTGTTCTTTGGGCTCCAGCCTTCTGTGAATGAAGGCTCTGCTCATGTCAGGGTTCAGGGAAGGGGGTGGTGCCAGAGTCAGCCATGTGAAAACATACAGAGGGAGGCCCAGCCTAGGAGAGAGGCCTGGACACACCTGGTGGGACATAGATCGTGGCTGTGTGTCCTGATGAGCCACCCTCTACTGCTGTGAGTATGTGTGTGTGTTTACTGCAGAGGAGCCGTGTCCCCAGCCAGAATGCAGGTCCTCCAAGTGCAGGTTCCGCTGCCTATACTCTGCTGCTGTATGGCCTTCATCACCCGCCCTGCCCATCACGCGCCCAGAGCAGGGCCCACATGCTGTGGGGGCAGTGTTGAATGAATGAGGGGGTTTTATTGTTGAAGAGCTTAGACTGTGTCAAAGTAGAGTTTAGAATAACAAAACATTTTTTAAATGCAATCTAAAAAAAAAAAACTACAATCTTAGATCTTCAAGCCTTATTCCTGTGTCAATTAAAAATTAAAGTACTCCCACCCCTCCCTTCCCCTCCCCTCATTTCAAACATGGCCCCTTGCCACGGCCAAGCACACCATCCGCAGCCCCTACGCCCCTGGGACCAACAAGATGGACCAGGTCTCTGCTGGGGACCCAGGCCTCAGGAAGGCCTCTCCTGCCTTCTTGCAGCAGCCTGGGAGGCCCAGGAAAACCAGGATCTAGGCTGGCTGGAGGAGCTCTTCTAATCCAGTAAAGCGACAGGCCCCTGCTCACACATTTCACTGGTCGTGCCCACGTTATGCTGTCACCCGGACCCGCTGCAGCTTGGAGAGGGGCTGACAACAAGCCCCGACCAGGCAACCCTGCCCTCCGCACCTGAGTCTACTACTCCCAGGCTCCAGAGAACCAGGGCGCCCTGAGGGCGCGGCTCCCACCCAGGGAAACCGGCTTAAGGCTGGCAGGGCTCCGCTCCCCAGCTCCTGACATGTCCTGATGGTGGGGTCAGGGTCCGGACCTTGCCTGCCCCGGTCTTTCATCAGAATCAGGGCGGATGATTCCTCCTGGAAGCTAAGCTGCCCAGCGGCCACCCGCCAGTGCTTTCCCGGACTCTGCAGCGTCCCCGCGAGGGACACCCACCAGGCACGCTCCAGGGCGCAGACCTCCGGGACAGAGTCAGAGGAATCCCACCCTTTCCGACCCTTCGCCTTTGAGTGGAGTCTCTCAAGCTGCCTCCTCGCCTTCCGCCCAGGTGCCACATCCTCGGCCAGCCGTGCTGCACCGCGAGGACTATAGGGTGCCCCGCCCCACGCGGCGCCACGCGGCGCCTCCCTCTCTCGGGCCAATGAGCAGCGGTGGGGGAGGGACTAGCTGTTGAGCGAACCTAGAGCGCGGAGCCCGGAAGGGAGGGGGCGGGGCGTAAAGTCCCGGTAGCCAATCGACGATGACAGGGGCGGGGTGGCGTAGCCCAATTGGCGGGGCCGGGGGCGTGGGGCGGAGCAAGGCCAGGGCCTGCCGTGGCGAGATGGCGGCGGCGGCGACGCAGGGGATGGACCCGCTTCGCGTGGGCTTCGTGGGCGCGGGACGTATGGCGGAGGCCATCGCGCAGGGCTTCATCCGAGCAGGTGGGGCGCCGCGGGAGTGGGGCGCGTGGGTCCCCGGGTCTTGGAGCCAGCGGGCGTCCGATGCGCGACCGGTGTGCGAGGGAAGGGTTCACCTGTGCGCTGCTCACCTGCCTGGAGGGATGCATCCCGCAGAGCCCCTGGGCGAGGAGCGAGGACCACAAGGGAGCCCTCCACGCGGGGTCCTCAGGGTGCAGCGGGGCCGGCCGGGCGGGCGTGGGCCAGGGCGGATCGCGGACGCTGCCCCTGCGGACTCCGCTCTCTCAGCACAGCAGCGAGGGGTGTGCGTGGGTGGCGTAGAGCTGGTTGTCCCCGCAGGGGCCATGAGCCACGTGGGGCCACAGAGCACCTGAGATGTGCTGCGAGTTTGTAGAATAAAATCTGTGTCGGGTTTGGAAGATGTAGCACACACAAAAAACAAAAAGTAACATATTTGAGTAATTTTTAGTACTGATTAAAACCAGTATTTGGAAGGGTAGTATTTTGTTTACACTGAGTTAAATAAAATGTATTAGAGTTAACTTTATCTTTCTCTTTTACTTGCTTAATGTGACTACTAGAAAATGTGAAGTTAAGTATTTGGCTCCGGTGATATTTCCTTCGGACAGCACTACCGTAGAGCCTGGAATCTCCCACTAACTTCTGGTCTGCTGCCTGGGTCGAGTGGGTTGACCTTTGAGACTCCGATTCTATTTCCTCCTTCTGTGCCAGCTCCACTGCGGTGGCAGGCTGCAGGTTTTCTCCACGTGGGCACTGTGGACGTTTGGGTTGGGATAATTCTCCATCCTTCACATTGTAGGGTGTTTAGCCACTTTTCTAGTCTCTCCCCACTAGATGTTAGTAGCATCCCCCAATTATGACAGCCAAAGCTGTCTCCAGAGGTTACCACACGTCCCCTGGGGTTGGAGAGCAAAAACTTCCCAGGTGGAGAACCACTGGTTTATTGCAAGACAGGGCAGTGCTGTCCTGGTCTTACTCCACGGGTTTTAGAAACCTTTACGTGCAAGTCATGGGTTGGCTTTCTGTCTTCAGCCTCAGTCAAGGTTCAGAAGGGTCAGAATCATCAGAACATAGCTGAGTGCACGTCTCAGGTGTTTTAACTGTAGAACCTGGCAGTACCGCCTTCCTCCCAGGGCTGTACAGGTTCAGTATTGAACACAGTACTGGTGTGTGTAGGCATGCGTGGTGGTGTCACTGTCATGACTGACTGGCTCTGTGTTCAGGTTGTGAGGTGCGGTTCTGCCTTCCTGTTAGACCTTACAGAAACTTATCTCCCAGCCCTGTACGCCACAAATGCAGATGATTCTACCCAATGGGCTCTTAGCCTCTGCTTGGACATCCCAGCACAGATGTACCCCCAACACCCAGGGAAGCTCAGCCCCTATTGGGCCCCCCTCCCCACCGTGCCCCCTCCTCCAATCTAGCCTTCCTGTCCCCGGAAGGCTGTGTACTCATGAGACTAGGCAAGCTCCACGCCCCTGCATCTAGCCCCCCGTGGACTCAGCAGCAGCAGGCAGGTGGTGATGACTGACAAGCAGGATAGAATGGAGCTGAGCGCCTGGTCCTGGGTGCACCGAACGCCCCTGCCAGGCCCTTGGGTTCCTACAGAGTGTCAGGCCAGCTAGGGGCCAGGATGGCTGAGCATGAGAGGCCCGTCAGGAAGGGGCAGGCCAGGCTGGTTCCTGCTCTTCTTTCCTTCCACCCCACCTCCTCACAAACTCTTCTGCTTTTGCTTTTCTCTCCAGGAAAAGTAGAAGCTCAGCACATCCTGGCCAGTGCACCAACTGACAGGAACCTTTGTCACTTCCAGGTGAGCTGGGCCCCAGCTCTTCTGAGTTGAGGCTTTTCTGGGGGGCTCATGGTGGCTCTTGGCCCCTGTCCCTCTGAGACAGTTCTTGGGGCCAGGGACGTGTTGCTTATTTAGCTAAACTTTTGAGACAGGCTGGGCTGGGGAAGGGGAGGTCAAAGACCAGAAGGAAAGCCAAGGTTGGGGAGGGCTAAGGCAGAGTGAAGGGGGTGCGTGCGCGTGCGCGTGCGCTCACGTAAGTGCACGTGTGTACACGTGTGTTGGGGCAGAGATGGTTGTGGGCACTCGCTGGGTTCAGAGGGCGCAAGGAAGTGCTGACATCAGGGGTCCTGTGAGGTGCAGGGTTGGTCCTGAGCAAGAATGGATGGTCTGGGTGAGTCTTGGGCTTTGGGAGTGGGGGTGGTGCAGGCATTTGCAATGTGAGGGACCCATGGGGACCCCTGGGGATGCAGGGTGGCCTCCAGCAGGAAGGGCTCTGGTCTGGGAGGCTGTCCCATTGACCCCAGCCCTCACCCCACTGTCCCCACTGCAGGCTCTGGGCTGCCGGACCACCCACTGCAACCGGGAGGTTCTGCAAAGCTGCTTGCTGGTCTTCTTCGCTACCAAGCCTCATGTCCTGCCCGCTGTCCTGGCCGAGGTGGCCCCTGTGGTAACCGCTAAGCACATCTTGGTGTCTGTGGCTGCCGGGGTCTCTCTGAGCACCCTGGAAGAGGTGAGTGGCCTGTGGGGGTTATGTGGGAGCTGAGGCTCTGACCTCAGAGCCCATTCTGCTGGTCAGAACTTCCCACCCTTTGCCATCCCAGATTGGTGCCAGTGTGGGTTTAGCCCTTTAGGAAGGTGGGATGGGTGAAACCTATGACAGACAGCCTCCCAGACCAACCCGAGCCTGAAGAGGTGGCCAGGTGACCAAGGGGGCTGGGGCTTAGGTTCCTGCTAGCACCCTAGCCAGGACACGGGCAGGGAGGGAACCCACAGTTGGCTGAGGCCTGGGTCTGCCTGACGGGGCCAATCCCACATGATCCCTGACTCCAGCTTCTCTCTGACCAGCTGCTGCCCCCGACTGCACGGGTGCTGCGGGTCTCACCCAACCTGCCCTGCATGGTTCAGGAGGGGGCCGTGGTGATGGCACGGGGCCGCCACGCCGGAAGCAGCGAGGCTAAGCTCCTGCAGACCCTGCTGGAGGCCTGTGGGCAGTGCGAGGAGGTGCCTGAGGCCCACGTGGACATCCACACCGGCCTCAGTGGCAGCGGCGTGGCCTTCGTGAGTGTTGTCTCATCCCCCACCCCCAGGCCAGCCCTTGGCAAAGCGGAGACTTCTCAAGTCCCTGCAATGACCCCAGCCTTTGGGATTCGATGACTTGGTTCCCGGGCTGCCTGTGAGCTCTACTCTCTGCTTCGTCGTTGCCTTCCTGGGCCTTTGTCCAGTCAGACCCCTGGGCTCAAGCCTCAGCCCTAGTTCCTGCACTGGTGGCCAGTGCTCTGGGCTGTGTTCCTGAAGGTTCCGAGCTTTCTCCAGACCGGGTGCTATGTGCAGGAGAGTGTTGGCTTTGACAGTCTCCACCCCCACTGCTACAGGTGTGTGCCTTCTCTGAGGCCCTGGCCGAAGGTGCCATCAAGATGGGCATGCCAGGTGGCCTAGCCCACCGCATTGTGGCTCAGACCCTGTTGGTGAGTGAGGGCAGCCCCCGCGGGGTCGTGTGAAAAGGGATGGGCTGCTATGTCTCCCAGGAGCAGCGGGAAGGGGGACAGCAGGCCCAAGAAGCCTGGACGAAGATCTGGGATGGGGGTGGGGGGTGGACCCATGATGAAGCAGGCTACATGGGGCTGAGCTGGAGAAGGGGCTGTCCGCTTCCCTTGAGTCACCCCCAGGGCCCCTCTCCCCAGGGAACAGCTAAGATGTTGCAGCAGAAGGGGCAGCACCCAGCTCAGCTGCGGACAGACGTGTGCACACCGGGCGGCACCACCATCTACGGGCTCCACGCCCTGGAGCAGGGTGGGCTTCGGGCCGCCGCCATGAGTGCCGTAGAGGCTGCCACCTCCCGGGCCAGGGAGCTCAGCGGGAAGTAGGGAACGGGCACGGGCTGTGGGCTGCCCCAAGTCCCTCCTTCCTTGCTCCTTCCCCAGGACTGCAGCTCCCCCACCATGCAGGAGCCTCCTGGCTGCCCCCCGACCTCCACAGGAGGAAATGAGAAGGGACAGGACTGAAGGGTTTCACAGGCAGGGGATCCCCTCACCATGGGAACCTCCCCCCCACCCACCGCAGGGCAGAAGGCACCATGGCAGTGGCCCACCGTCAGGTCTGGGGATGTGCTGGCCGGGTGCCTCGTGTGCTCAGCTGGGTGGGTTGAGGGCAGGAGCAGGGCTGCTGCTGGAGCATCTGGGTAGGCCCTTCCGACAGCTGACTGCAGCCAGCTCAGGAGCGGGGGCTGGGGGGTACCCAGACACTGCACAAGAGACCGGCTCCTCCTCTTCAGTGAAGCCAGCACTGGTAGGCCCCCACATCGGTCTTGTCCTCGGGTTGACCTGCCATGGCGGGGGGCGTCACCCACAGGGAGCTAGCCCCTGAGAAAACAATGGGACTGGCTGCCCTTTGCTCTTTTTCTGGCTCAGGAGGAGCTGCACCGGGTCCTTCCCTTGGGGAGCCCCCACGAACAGAGCTCTGGGCGGGTGGGCCGCAGTGCTGATCAGCAGCAGGCCAGTGCAGGGAGGCTGGGCCTAGCCGGCTGCGGAACAGGGACTTGGCTTCAGCTGGGTGTGGACCCCCTCCCCCAGCTAAGCTGGCAAGTGGCAGGTGGAGCCGGCCCTGATGACCGTTCCCTGGGTTGTCCTGGAGGGTCTCCTGGCCTGGCCTCTGACTGCAGGACATGGCTCTTTGGCACATCCCTGGCCAGCAAAGCCAGGAACTTGGGTCCCCCACCAAGGCCATGGGGCCTTTGGGTGGAGGGTGGGCTGCCTGCCTCTTTCCCCCCACACTGCCCCCGAGACTCCTGGAGCCTCCCCAACCCACAAAGGCCCCGGAGTGCTGGAGGTCCCCTCACTTCCACCCGGTGGCCTACTGAGACTGGGCCAGCCACAAAGTGGAGCAAACTGCCTCCAGTTTACCAGCTGAGACTTGAAGCAAATCAGTCCTATCTGTACGTGGCTGATAGCACCCCCACAGCAGTGCTCCCCTGCTCACGCTCCTGTCCTCCATCCCTAGCCTTCAGCCTGTCCTCCCATGCACATCCCCAGACCTGCTGCCGCTGCCCCCACCGTGGTCCTTCCTTGGCCAACTGGCCCTTCCTCCGGTTAGAAGGGTCAGCCCGAGGCCATTTCCACACCTGAGTGATCTGTGAGATGGGAATAAAGGCGCTGTCTGCTAGCACCGAGTGACCGATGTCTAGGCTGATAAAGCAGATTGCAAGGGCCTGGAAGTACATCTGAGCTGAGGCTTGAGACCTGGGAGCAGGTGGTGTGGGGGCAGAGGCCACCCACCCTGGCTGTATGGCACCAGCATCTGAAAGCTCTGCACGGGTACAGTCTTTGGCTTCCTCCCTAGCCCAACCTCATCCCCCAGTGTACACTGGTGGGTTCAGCGATGCGTCTTCCCATACAGTCTCCAAGAACCTGGGCGGGTTGGCTTGTGGGGCAGAAGACGCGCTTCCGGCCAGCCCTGCCATGAGCAGGCCACTTGCGGAATCAGAGGCACCTCAGTGAGCCCCCGCCCAGCTGGAAGCGCAGCCGTGCCTCAGGTGGTGATGGGCCTGGACAGGACAGGAGTAGTTAGAGTGGCTTTGGGGGTCAGGGCTGCAGCATGATCACCGGCCGGCCACACCTCGCCTTCTAGCACAACGCTCAGATTACTTTTTCAAGAGACCGGTGGATAGAATTTTTCATCAGTGTTTATATCTTCCTTAACGTTTTCAAATTATGAGGTGTTCTAGATCTAAGCATTGGGTCAAAAATTACAAAATTAAGACTTCAAAAGTACCTGGTTGGCTGAGGCAGTAAAGCGTGAAACTTGGTCCTTGGGGTCATGAGTTCAACCCCACGTTTGGTGTAGAGATTATTTAAATAAGTAGAATAGCTGCCAAAATCCAAAAAAATATATTAAAATAAGACTTTAGAACAGGGATGCATATGAAGTTGACACGAACCTTTATTATAAAGCACGTTGGGCCCACCTGACTGGGTGAATCCCCCCCTCAAGGATGGGTGTGAAAAGGTCCCTCAATAGAGCATGCACCCCAAAAGCCCATGGTCCTCAAGGACACACCCCTGGAGTCAAGGCTAGCCTGTGGTCACCCTTATTTGGGCACAGTGCCCAGCCCCCCTCCCGGGCTCCCCGCGGCAATCCTGACTTGCTGGGCTGGGGGTCCCTGGAGGGCACACTCTTCCCTTCACCACATGCCGACATGGTGCCCTGCAGCCCCCCGGCTGTCTGGGGGTGGCTTCCCGGGCATGTAGCCCCCTTGGGCAAGGCTGTGCCTCTCAGATGGCTCCCTCTGAGGGTTGCAGCTTAGTATCATCCCCACAGAACATGCAGGTCAAGGGCGGTTTTAGCAGAGCCTGCACACCGGCTTGTCTTCATCCATGTGCCCCCCCTCCCCAGCCTGCTGCCAAGCCCACTGGATGCTCTAACGATGACCCTGACCAAGAGCCACTTTTGGGAAGAGCAGCAACCTTTGCTGCTGTGAGTGTTCGGCCATTCTGCAGAGAGAGACTGGGGTCCCAGGTGCACCCTTGCCCAGTGCCCATGGGGGCCCTGAGGTCTGCCTCTCGACTCCCCCGGGGGCAGGCCTGGCAGAGCAAAGGCCAGGGCCTCCTAGCCCTAGGTCCCTGAGTTGCCATCGGATGTTACAAAAGGTAAGACTTGCTGAAGCCCCGTGCCAGCTGCTTGGGTTAGAGTCCCCGGGCCAGCCAAGACGCCAGCCAAGACGCCAGCCACAGACGGCCAGAGGCCCCTGTAGGGGCGCGGGCTGGAGGAAGCTAGTAAGTGGAGGGGCCAGAGGGGCCCCAGCTCCCAAATTCTTCACACCTTCCCTCAACTTTCAGATTTGAGATACATGGATGTGACACACACACACTCTGACCGGGGACAGTTCCATGGAACAATTTATGTTCTCAGACTTGTGGGGAAGCTGCTCTGGGGGCTCCCTCCAGCTGGCTCGGCAGTGCCTGGCCACCCTGTCCCACAGACACACCGTGTGCCTGCAGCCGCCTGGCTATAGCAGGAGGATGTGGGGCAGGTGGGGGTGAAGGGAGGACAGAGGCAGGCAGCACCTCAGACCCGGCCCCCGCCTCTCACAAGCGCTTGGGCAGCACGTCCCCAAAGGCTGTCCCTCGGAGGCACAGGCATCGCAGGACTCTGAACCTAGAGCTGGCCAGACACACGAGCCCTTTCCTCCTCCTCTCAAACGGAGCCACTCAGAAGCCCAGTCCCTGGGGCTACGGGAAGCAGCTCCTTAGCCATACCCTTGGCAGTGCCAGGAGTTCCAGTGGAGGAGCACTAAGGCACTGTAGGATTGTCCCCGTATGGCTGTCAGTATCACAGGCCTGCTCCGGGTAGATGGCGTGGCTCTGGGCCTGGTTGCTGGTCCAGGGAGCTTGCTCAGTCATTGGCCAAGTCACCAGGGGCCCAAGTCTAGAAGGCTGCTAACCCCAGAGAATAAGAGAGCAGCTTGGGAATGGAATTTTCTTAAGGAAAACTAACAATCCCAGCGGAACAGAAATCTACACTTGCTGCTGCATCTGTAACGTCAGGATCCCCAATTGCTGGGCACCATCCTCCCTTCCCAGCCTCTATAGAGCCAACCTCCAAGACCAGCCCCGGGCTGGGGAATGAGACACCACCCTGGCCCCCAGCAGGGTATCTGTAAAAACGGACTCCGCATGGAGATCTCCACATGGAGACTGCATGGCTGTGGCATGGGAACCATGAAGCACCAGGGCTCCAGACTTACAGGAGTGCTGGCCTCTTGTCCAGTGCATGTGATGGGCCACCCCGGAGAAGGGCAGGAGGTACGGACAGGCCATGGAGCCCAATAAGGGCCAGGGCCGGAAAACCGAGAGCTGCTCTGATTAGCGCGCTATGTTGTGTGTGGCAAGGGACCCTGGCAAAAACCACAGACACCACAAGTGTGCCTGCCCAGGGAGGAGGTGTATGAGCCCAGGGCCCCTCTTCTAGCTCCCCCTCAGGAGAATGGGGGACCAGTGGAGCAGGATGAGCCTCCACAAGAGCCCCTCCAAGCCAGCCTGGGGGCCGGGATCCCTGGAGACCCCTGAGCCATGGGGTAGGCCATCCCAGGGGAAAGAGGGAGGGGAAATGGAAGACTGTGCGTGTCTCCTCCCTCCAAGTGCAGCAGGAGAACAGCCGCTGGGGGGCCACTCAGGCTGGCTTGGTCACACCCCATCCTCGGGGACTGCACGAGAGGGACCAATGCCCCCCAGCCTCCGGGCCATGCTGATCAGTGAGCGCAGCTGCACCAGCTTTGGTGGCCCCACCTCCCGGGGGTCCTGATTCTCCAGCCACCGGAGAGCTGTCTCCAGACCCCGGACAGCCTCCCCAGCAGTGGGCACGGCAGCCTCCTCCTCCTCCTCCCCACCTCCCATGACAGAGGGTAGGCTGGCTGGGGGTAGAGGGGCAGCAGGGGCCAGCACAGGGGGCCGGCCAGGGCCTGCCTCCTCCCTGCAGCTGTCAGGCAGCCCCCCATCATCGTCCAGATGCAGCCACTTGGCCACCTCCTCAGGCGCCAGGCGCTTGTAGGCCAGGGCTGCCAGGTGCGTGAGATCGCTGAGCACCCGGCTGTGCTCTGCAGCCTCCTCGGCCTGGCCGGCGGGCTGCCCAACACACTCCTCAGTGGGCCGGGGCTCGAAGGCCGCCCGCAAGCCGAGCAGCCAGCACCGCTCAATGCTGCCTGCCTGCACCAGGTCCCAGGAGAGGCCGGCCAGGTAGAGCATGTCCTTGAGCATGAAGCTGCGCATGAAGTCCAACGGGGAGCCCCCCGCACAAGACACAGCTAGCCTCAACAGCTCCCGCTTGTATAGCTGCTTGAAGGCGGCCACGACCCCCTGCTCCAGCGGGGCAGGGATGTGTGCCCGGCTGCTGCCCTTGGACAGGAAGAGCACCCGCACGGCACCATCCGGGGTTTGCAGCTCTTCTGGGGGGCTGAGGGGCTCGGGCCGACACCGCCGGAGGGTCTCCTCGCTCTCCTCCAGAGCGGGCATCCTGGCAGCTGGGCTTGGGCAGGGCGGGTGGGCCACCAGCAGCACGGCCTTCTGCTGCAGGCAGCTGCGACGCAGGTAACGCCTCACGCCGGGGACGAACTCCTCGAAGAACCAGCCCCGCAGCAGAGGGCGACTGAGCCAGGCATCGGGGCTGTAGCGGTAGGAGGCGGGGAACTTGTCCTGGTTGTGGTGGCGCAGGCTAGGCGGGTCCGGCAGCTGCCCGATGACCAGCGGCTTCAGCTTGTGGCTACCGGTCAGGTTGGCGGCCAGCAGCACGGTCACCCGGTCACCCCGCCAGCGCCGGCCGCAGCCTCCCGCGCCAGGGTCTCCCGCGCCCAGGGGCGCGGCCTGCTCCGGAAGCAGCTTCCAGTAGAGGCCAGTGACGTTTGCGTTGTAGATCTGCTCGTCGCCGTAGCCCCCCTCGGCGGGGGGCGGCGGGGCCGGGGCCCGGTCGGGCAGGGGGCCGGAGCTGGAGCCCGGGGGCTGCGCGGGCTCCTGCTTGACGGGCGGGCCGGGCGCGGGGCCCGCGGCCAGAGGCTCGGCCTCGCCATAGATACGCTGGCTGGAGATGCCGTGGCGCTTCTGCCAGCGCCAGAACCAGCCGTGGCTGGCCTTGAAGGTGCATTCGGGCCCATAGATCTGGCGCGCGAAGGCCTCGGCCTGCGCCTGGATGAGCGGCCCTGACAGCGGCACGCCGTGCTGGCGCAGCGCCAGGAACCACGAGTAGACGGCGCGATCGATCTCCTCCTCGTTGGCCAGCCGCATCTTCTTGCGCTGCGTGCCCACCTCGCCGCCCAGCTGCTCCAGGAACCAGCGCAGCTTGGGCTCGTCCTTGAGCCAGCCGCGCAGCGTGCCGCCCGGCACACCGAAGTCGCGGCACACGCTAGCCTGCCGCTCGCCGCCCTTGACGCGCTCGATGGCCTGCAGCTTGTCCTTGATGGAGTAGGCCTTGCGGAAGGCCATCTTCACGGCCACGCGGGGCCGCGGCCCGGGCGCCGGGGGCGGCGGCCGCACGGCGGGGGCTGGAGTGGGCGCGGGAAGCCGCGGCGGCTGCGCGGGGCGTCCGGGCAGGGGGTGGCGGGCGCGGCGCGGAGCTGGGCCGGCCGGGGGGCCCGCGGGGTACATGGCTGCGGCGGCGGTGACGGCGGCGGCGGAGGCGGGGGCGCAAGGGCCACACGCCGGCCCGGCCGGCCGCGCGAGGCGGGGCGCTGAGTGCGGGGTCGGCCGGGCCCTCCCCTTTGTCTCGCCAGCTTTGGGGGCGCAGGCGCGCAGGCCCCGCCACTCGGCCCCGCCCCGCGCACGACCCAGCCCCGCCCCGCGCGCCACCCGGCCCCGCCCCGCGCCGCGCGCCCTCAGGCGCGTGCGGGCTCTTCCGCCCCGCCCCGGCCCGACGAGTCCACTGCGCCGGCAGCGGAGGGGGGTAGGCGAGCTGCGGTCCTGTTCCCGGCTGCCCGTTCCAGCCCCGTGGGGACGCAGCGAGCCCCGTGGTGGCCTCCCACTGCCTTCCGTCTTTGCGGCCGCGGGGACCGTCGCGTCGCGCCGAGGGCTCTGGCGGCGAGGCGGGCGTGCGCGGGAGCCGCCTCCCCTGCGTGCGCTGTCCGCGGCGCGTGGTACATCCCGCTGCTTCATTTCCCGTGCGCGGCCGGGCCACCTCTTCCTTTCCCCAGCCGTCCCGCGCCACGAGCCCTCCTCCTTGGTCGCCGCGTCCTTGGCAGGTGTGAGTACCGCAGCCCGCGCCCAGAGGAGCCGCACGCGCCGCGGAGGCCCGCAGGGGCCGAGGCGGGGGGCGGCGGGCTCCCGGGGTTGCGCCCGCGGCTCTGCGGCGTCAGGGCCCCGGGCGTCAGTGCTGCCGGCGTGCGGGCGGAGGGGCGGGGGACCGAGTGCGGCAGACGCAGAGGGGCGGGGCACGCGGGCCACGTGGCCGGCCGGACCCCGCCGCAGCCCCTGGCCCTGCCGCAGCCCCGGCGTGGGGGGCGGCGGCCGGGGGTTGGGGGTGGCCAGGGGCTCTTCCTTTGTCCCGCACGCGCTTCTTGGGTACCTGCTGCGCACCGGTTTTGGGCCCGGGGGCCAGGCTCCGGCCCAACCCTTGTGGAACCCTGACGGTTCTTGGATGCGAGAAAGAGCAAGGACGTGTCTTCTGAGTGACTCGAAAGAAATGCGCAGGGTTCTCTGAGTGCCCGGGAGTCACGATTTGGATAAGGTTGCCCCGACAGGAAGCGCTGTAGAAGCCAGTGTCTGAAGGGGTGTGGGTAATTCCTCCCGGAGACAGAGGGGCACTGTGAGCGGAAGGGAGAGAGAAAGGCTCCTCCTGGAGCCAACGGGGTGGTGTGGGATGGAGGCTGAACGTCAGGGTTCCCAGAAGGAAGGGCCAGCCCAGAGCAAGAAAAATTTTTGGCTAAACTTGGTGGGAGGGGGTTCCTGTCCGAGGGGGAGCACCTCTTTAATTGACCCTGGCACATCCCTCCTCTGAGGAAGTGGGCTTGACCTGAGGTTGGGAAGGACATGTTTTAGGAGGCATCCGCTGGAGCGGCTCTGACACCCGACCTTCCTGGGTACCCTAGTCTGTAAGTGGGCTGTCTTGGATGGGCTCTGGTGCTTCCTGAACCTTCCTGTGCCTCGCCCCGTGGACAGCATCATCTTGCGGAGTGACTGGCACACAAACCTGTCATCTCTGTAGGTCAGTGTTCTGGGCCTCCTGCCAGTCCTGGGGAGTGCCCTCCGGGCCGGCCTTTCCTTCTCTGGAGTGGGGCTTGCAGTGAGGTTCACGGCCTGGGGAGAGCCCTTGATGGGCCAAGACAGCTGCCCTCTGAAGGATCTGGTGCAGGGCCATCTCCCCAGCGTTGCTCCTGGGGAGCAGGGTGGGGCTACCAGGGTGGGCAAAGGTGCTTGACTGATGTTTTCATGAAAGCAGTTTTCTTGAAGGTGATTTTTTTTTTTCCTTTTTAAAGATTAATCAAAAAATTATCTCTGGCATCTGATGCAGTGGTGTCTTCCCCTCACTGACTCAGGGGCTTCCTTTCCCCACTGCAGTTGTCCACTGTGTGTGAGGCCTGGGGATGCACACACGAGGACTCAAGTGTGCACAGAAAGGTTGGGGAAGCATGTGCAGTACTGGGGTCACCCCGAGGGAAGGGGGCACAGGGACCAGGCTGGTTAGCTAGGACCAGGCTCTGGCAGCTAGGACAGAACAGAACGGACAGGCCGCGGCATTCGAAGTACGGACATTGCTGTGCCTGCGCGGGGCGATGCGGGCAGCTGCAGCGGGAGCCCTGAATCTGACGGCATAGGGGTCCCCTTTCTGCCAGCGGGACAGGTTGATATTTCTAAGTGGGGCTTGGAGATCCCCCCTGCAAAAGGCAGGTGGTATCCCTGCCTTGCACAGCTAGCCTGTGTGTGGAGCCGCGCTGTCCTGGGCTACCCCTCTGTGAGGCAGGTACCCCTCTGTGAGGCAGGTACCCCTCTGTGCGGCAGGTACCCCTCTGTGCGGCTGTCCTTGTTCATTCAGACATGCCAAGTGCTTGTCACTGTCCCTCTGACACGGAAGGTACCACGGAAAGCATTGCTGTGCAGCACGGTCCGACTCTGGGGGCCCAGAGGAGATGCAGCTGGCCTGCAGACCCCTCCCTTCCCCATACACTCATGTGGGTTCCCACTTCTCCTGGAAGGTGGGCAGAGTTCCTCCGAGTGTGTGACTGGTGGAGTCGTGTCCAGAAGATGGGGAAGTGGTGTGGAAGGCAGAGCCTGGGGAGGGTCCAGCCCTTCCCAGAAACCTTCCCCATTCACCCAGGCTCACAGGGACTGACAGGCGCCTGGCCCTTGGGTGGGCACAGCTGCGGCGGGCCACATCCTTCCCTTCCAGGCCCTCCAGCCAGGAGTGTCCTTTGGGGGGCTACTGCCAGGTTCCCGTCCCAGCTCTGAGAAGAGCTCTGTCTGCGCTTCGGGGCACGGACTCACTTCCCTGCAGTCAGAACGCAGACTGCGCCAGGCTGGGACGGTTGCAGAGGAGGGGCCGTCTGTAGCCAGGCCCAACTCAGTCCGCTTTCAGGAGCAGAGGGTGGGGACACCTGAGGCCCCTTCCTTCTGGGTCTTTGCTCTGATGTTCCTCAAGTTTGTTCCATTGCTGTGCCGTCTGGAGAGATGGTAGGGGAGGGGGTCCACCTGTTCCCCGGGCAGCCTGGGGTCCTCGCTGTATGGCTGGAGGCTTGCACCTTTGTGTTCTCTAAGGGGATCATTCAAACTCAAACTTGCTTTTCTCCTAGGACAGATGGGTTTTCAGTTCAGCTCTTCTTGGAACATGGGAGCTCTCAGTCGAGGGAGATGGGAGGCAGTAGAGGTGGGCTCTTGTATCTGAGATGGGGGGCAGGGGGAGCCAGGAGCCCCCTGCTGCCTGGTCCTCCAGTGTCCCTGTGGGTGTAGTTGGTCCCAACACTGGCTTCACCGCCTCCGGGTGACGTTGCCAGTGGGGGTGGCTCGCCGCCATGTGCAGGTGGCCGGCCCAGGGCCTTTTGCATGCTCCTGTGGGGCAGCTGCTGGTGCTTGTGTGTGCCACGCCCCCCGAGGGCCCCGTGGGTGCCCCTGTCAGTGACCTGATGCTGGTGCTCTCGTGTTTCTGCATGTGAGGCTGAGTTCCTGCTGGAGAAAGGAGGCAGATCTCCAGGGGTCTGGTGACTGGGCTGCTGGGCGGATCCCAGGGCAGGGCGACCAGGTCCATGCCTGGCTGCCTCAGCTCCTGGGCTGCTGCCTTTGTTGGATTTGGGGTGCGGCACGTGGTGTTTCTGGCCCGTTTTCCCATGTGTGATCGGGCTAAGGCCCTGTCTTTGTGTGCACACCAGGAAGATTGTCTTTGTTCAAGCCTGGTGTGATGGCGGTGTCCTGTTCCAGCACGGGCACCGGGGCTCGGTGGCTGCTGAGGCCCGTGGACCGGTTGTGGTTGTCTTGTGCCTTGTCCAGCAGCCTGGATTTAGTGGCAGCGTTACAGCAGGGCTGGGTAGGGATCTCCTGTACTGGGAGCACTGGGGTGCTGGCTGACCTCTGCCCAGGTTGGAACAGGTGGAAGGGTGCTCAGATGGTGTCCCCCAGGGCCTGCCTGGGCTACAGATAACAGCAACCCTAGGAGCTGCTCATTTCAAGTGTCGGCCAAGTGGAGTGGCGCTGCCCCAGGGGGGTGGACTCCTTCGCCTTCTGGGATTTTGGCGGTGGGTCTGCTGGGTGTTCATCTTCAGTTCGTCCCACCACACACCTCCATGCCACCTTCCCAAGCACCTTCTGCAAAGCCCTTCCAGCACGCTTGTGCTGCCCTTTCTGACTGCCTCTAACCTTGCTGCTTTCTCTTCATGCCATCCTAGGAGACCAAAGTGAAAGTAAGTACCACCTGTCCCTGCCGCAGCGTTCCCTTCGCCTCAGCCAGGGAGCCCCCAGTCCACTTGTCCCAGCATGTGTGGCCCGGCTGCCGGGCCCCCGATCCCTTGTCTGCAACACAGAGCTGCTGGATTTGCTGTAGTTGGGCTTTGACCCTGTGGAGTAGGGCAGGGGTGGGCATCTCGGTACTTCCCTGGACCGAGCCAGTTCCTGCCTCAGGGAGGGGGCAGCCCCTGAGCAGGCCGGGAGTGGCCTGCCGCTTCTCTGGGCTGAGCATGGAGCTGCGGCCCCAGCTGGCCCCTGGTACAGGCCACATCCCTCATTTTCCTGAGACGTCTTAAGCAGCTTCCCCTCCCTGAGGTGCAGCGGCCCCAGAGCTGTGAGCAGAGCCTGGTGTGATGTCAGGAGTCAAGGACAGCATTTAGGCCAATAGGGTCTGGCAGGGCTTCAACCCTGGGGGTCAGCCTAGTAGATGCAGCTGAAGGAGCCCAACCAACCCAGCTCTGGGCTGCTCTGGTGAGGGTCTACCAGGGGCTGGGTGCCAGAAAGACTGAAGGGCAGAGAGGCCCTGCCCGATTGGCCTGCCGTCCCCTCAGGGACAGTGGGTGATGTCACAATGCCTTGCCTCCTGGGCACACGCCCCCACCTCCCACCACTGCCTCTGCCTCCAGCCTGGCCTTGGTAAGCACCACTGCCGGCCTGGGGGGGAAGGCACAAGGGGGTGGCCCAGGGCTCCCTCCAAGCCTGGGGCTTCTGTCCTGTGGCCT